GGAGGAACACGGCAACCGCCTGGTAGCACAAGCATCAGTCCAACTCACACCCACCCACATCCACTCATGTATTTATCCAACCTATTTTTAAAGCTACACAACGTTCTGGCCTCTATAACTGTACTCGGGAGTTTGTTCCACTCATCCACAACTCTATTCCCAAAACCCAGTACTTTCCTATACCCTTTCCTGAATCTGAATTTTTCCAACTTAAAACCTTTGCTGCGAGTCCTGTCTAGGCTAGATATTTTCAGCACACTATTTACATCCCCTTTATTTATTCCTGTCTTCCATTTATACACCTCAATCATATCCCCCCTAATTCTACGTCTTTCTAGAGAGTGCAGTTTCAGGGCCCTTAGTCTAAACCTCATAGGGAAGGTTTCTGATACATGGGGTCAACTTTGTCATCCTCTTTGACATTTTCCAGAGAATTTATATCCATTCTGTAATCGGTGACCAAAACTGTGCAGCAAATCAAATGAGGCCTAACCCAAAGGATGTATAAGTTGAAAAAACCTGAGGACTTTCCCTATTATTTAGCTTCTTTATATGAAGCCAGGGTTTTATTAGCTTTATTTCAACACTTAGCACTGTTGTCTTGTTTCAGATTACTGCTAACCCGAACTCCTAAACTTTTTCCAAACCGTAATATTTTTAAAATCACATTATTTAGTTTATATGTGGCATGGTTTTGTCCTGTCCAAAAATTTAGAACTTTGCATTTGTCTAATTTAAACTGCATCTCCCCTTTTTTCCGACCATGCATCATCTATTCAAATCTTCCTGGAGTGCTCTAAAGTCCTCGTTAGAAAGAATTCGAGGGCCCTTTTTTTGGTGCTCGGCAAACTTGCGATGTCGCTCTTTATGCCCTCATCTATGTCGTTTTGTAGATTGTGAAAAAGGGGGGGCCCAACACTGACCCCTGTGGAACACCGCTGGGGCCTTTCCCCCCATTCGATTCTCCCCCTTTATGCAAACTCTGCGCCTTTTTGTCCCCATGCCTCTATCCAGGAAAATTTCTCCTATCCATGTGCCTTTTTTTTCCTAAATAGTCTCTGAGGGGGGACCCGTCAAAAGCCTTACTAAAGTCCATATAACAATATCAATTCATTACCATGATCTACCTCCTCAAATACCTAGGAAAAAAATTAATAACTTCGTAAGGGGGAGGAACCCCCTTTTTAAAACCCTGGAGATTTGTTGAATTAAATTTATCTTTTCAAGGTGGCTACGAACTGCCTCGGAATTATTTATTCCATAAATTTTTTTCCCCCTATGGGGGTTTGGGTTTTGGTCTATAGTTTGAAACTAAGGACCTCCACCCGTTTTGAAAATAGGAAACCATTTGTAAGACATTCCACTTCCTAACTACTCTATGACTGAAGAAATATTCCTAACATCCCTTTTTACTATCTGATCTTCAAATTCCAATGTGACCCCTTTTTCGTTTCCCCTCTCTGGGAAAATCCTGTTTTTTGCCACCTTTTCTATTCCCCACAGTATTTTTTTATGTCGTTTTTGTCTCCCCTGACCCTCCCCTCCTCCATGTCGTCAGGCCGATTTCCCCCAACCTTTCTTCATAGGGGCATTCCCCTTACTCTGGAATTACGGCAAAAATTTGTAGTTTTTCCAATTTCTTGACTTTTTGACCAGGTGTGGGTTCCAAAATGGGGCTGCGTACTCCAATATGGGGCCGACGTACCAGTGTATAAAGTCTTGAACGATCCTTACTGAGGTACCGGAACACTATTTTCAGGGTTTTCCAAGCGCCCATAGCTGCAGCAGTAATTGGTTTAAAGGTGCTTCTGGCGAGTATCGGATTTTACTACTCCTAATATTTCTCCCGAGGAGGGTTTTTACCCTTTGGCCCCCCTAGCCTAATTTGTCTGCGGTCTTCTTTGCCCTTTTGATTTCATGACTTTGCATTTGGTGGGGTTTTAAAATTCAGGAGCCAGTTCCCTTACCACAATCCCGCCTGTCCCGGGTTTTTTGTAGACCGTCTGGGCCCGTCTAGTTTAATTTCCCATTAACTTCACATTGCAAACGGGGCACTCTAGTCATCCCTTCCGTCAGTCGTTCACAATAAAAAGAATAGCACTGGTCCCGGGACCGACCCCTGTGGGACCTCGTCGAAAACAGGTCCCCTGTGATACCTCTTCACGGACCAAACTCGCTGTTGCCCCCCCTGTCAATATTCACGTCTATTGCAGTTCCCCCCCTGTTATATGTGCCTGATCCCCTGCTTCTTAGCCCCCAAAAAAAAATCAATCAAACCCCCCCTTCCCTCTCATTTCTTATTTCAGTTACCTTTTCATAAAACCTAGTAGGTTTGTGGACAGGATTACCTTCCCTGAATCCAGCTGGCTGCGTTTATAATTTGTTCTGATCCGGTGTGTGTGTGTTTTGTGTTTAAAAGCCTTCCCCGTATTTTGTCACTTAATTAACTCATTCGTGAGAGTAAACACAAGAGAACAATCTGTTCACGATCACTGACTTTTTGTTTATTTTAGTTGGGAATTAAGACTAATAATAAAAATTATGTTAACTGTGCCTTTAAAAAACTTTCCCTGTCACACTTTCCTCCCAAGTCACAGCCGCTGACTACTTTGTAACAAACACCATCAAAATGACTCCCTCAGCGTTGATGCCCCAAAACTGGTAGTGCAGTGTGTTCAATAACCTGCATCGTAGGCAAACACACCATAAAAATTATCATTTTTGTGATTATGATTATCATTTTATTATGATTACGAAAAAAAAAATTTTATCAAAAAAACCCCCCCCCCCCCCCCCCCCCCCCCCCCTATTAAAAACCACTTGGTTAGGGGGTTTTAGGATCCCCACTTTTTTCCACTACGGGTTTTTTTCCCCGTCACCACATCATGGGACAGTTTGGGGTTCCACAACTTTCAAGGTTGCCCCCGTGTGGAAAAATAATTGGCAAGATAAAA